CTACAGTGGATACAGAATTAATTCTACATAGCAAGAATAAAGGACTACTCTGAAGTTTTGAGAATGAAATATATATAAAATAATTCGGACATGGTGATACCTGCTCACTAAAGAAATGAGAAGCCAAATATACTTTTTGGAACACTTAAAACCCATTACATTTATTATATTGGTGCTTCAACAGTAAACCACACTTGGAAACACATATTTACCATTTCAAATCAATATAGTATATATTTTTTCCTGCCAGTCCTCACCTCCCCACCCTTTCCCCAAAGACTTATGAAATAACAAATATGTCATACTTATAACAAAGCTGGAAATAATGAGGGCTGAAGTATGTGTGAACCTCCCTACATAACAATTTGAAATGAAATAGGAAAAGGACAAATTGCTTGTTGGAAACAACAGCCTCCAATGCTGGTGACTAATCAGTCGTTCTGCAGACACTGGGGCTAGAATCCATGAGTGGTTGTGCATTCAGATCATATGCAGCAGTAGGCCAGAATGGTCACTTACATTCATAAGTGGCTTTGCCAAAAAATCCTATTTGTATATAAAAATTCTGCACATGAAAAATCTTGCCAGCCTGTGAGTTCTGGCTACAGTTGTAGTTTAATGGAAAATTGGCACAATTTTAAGGCTTGAATCCTACACTCTTTTATTTGGGACTTACTTCGAAGCAGGCCTAGATAGGGCTGTGCTATGTGGTGCTGTTAAAAGGAGAACTACTGTATATTGCAACTTAGCACCCAGAGCAAATTTTTGCAAAGGTCAAATAAGACTTCATAATCCATTGTGATAGATTCCTGTGCAAGCTCTATTGAAATGATATATCATATTCTATCTTTTTTCAAGTTCTGTTAATTTCAATGGCAGTTTTTCAGAATTGCTCACTGGATTCTGCAGCATAAGCTAAACTGGGTGCTCTCAAGTACCATTAATTTCTGAGGGTATTCCACATACACCATTGTGCACTGGATTCTAGCCAAAAATACAATCCTACACATGCAGGTTCACTGAAAAGCTGCTCAAGTGGACCTCTCCTGTACGCCAAAATTACATCCAAGATCAGCAATGCAACTGCCCCAGCTCCACCTGCACAAGAGCTACTATTCTCAGATTGCTTAGCTCTGGTCTCAATAGTGAAGAAAAATGCTTTAACACCCTCTGCATGGAGTCATATTAATGGTCAGATCTCACAGGTACCATGTACCCCACAGTCCTTTTTCCTGCTATGTTATCATATGCCATCGAGTTGTATCTAAATTATGGTGACCCTACTAGTTTTCAAGGCATATGCGGTATTTAAACAATGGCTTTATCAGTGCCATCCCCTGGTGAATTTTCATGCCCAAGCAGGGATTTGAACTCATGTCACCTGAGTTCAAGGCCATCACTCTATCCACTATACCCCATTGGTTCTCATACTGATAGAAGAGGTAAATGCAGTGAGACTACATGTTCTTCGAGGCTAGATCACTGGTTTTGTCCTCCATCCTCCAGTCCCACCAGTTCAGGTGGCTAACAGAAAACAAAATCAACTGTGCCATTTGCCAGCTGACTTATGGAACTGAGAAAGTGGCCTTTACGAGGACAGAGAGACTAGTTCTTGGCCTGAAAACTGTAGTGTTAGAAGTGGAGTATTTGGTTTGAGTTTGGTTGAGTCTCATGGGCCCCCTATGTACAAAAAGACACCATATTCTGAACCTAAGTTTCAATATTCACACTCTTGACAAAGAGTTTCCCAGACTTCTGAGAGATGACAAACATTTTTTGTCTGTTTTAATCTTGGGAGACTGATTTTGATGCTGTACCTCAAAACATTCCTTCTGTAGCATAAGAGACCTCAAAGTGACACAGCCCAAGAAGAACCTGTACCCTCTTTTTCTGCATAAATCAACGAGAAGTTTACCTCCTGACTGGGTGCAGATGAATCCAGAATAGATAGATCATACAGAGATGCAGTAGGAGCCCTCCTCAGAACTGGCCTAATTGTACTAAAACTTGGCACCTAGTAATCCACTTCGTGTAGAGATGCAGAATAACATCCTGTTTTCAGCTAGGTGATTGGAAGATGGTGAGGGGGTGGAACAATTAGTCATGAAAAAGTACAGCAGGCACTTTCTCTAACATGGAGCCTTTCATTGCATAATCTATTCATTTTACACATCACACTAGCAGTGCTCTGACAGCCCACAGGCTGGGAATGAGTGTCTTAATGAGTGTCTTAAAGGATAAATCAAAATAGGGGGAACTGGTGGGTGGGATCTACATAATCTGCTGCTGTACTTCTCTTATTGTGCATTTCTTGCTTTGCTAGGAGGTATTATGACTACAGGACAATACTATGTAAATGTGCAAATACATTCCCAACAAACCATTCACAGTAGGAGAATCAACTTTCTAGGCCAATTTCTATTCTGGGTAGTTAACTTCTAAAAAAAAGTCCAGCGGTTTTTACATCCAATAGTCATTGGTGACTATGCAACAGCTTTATATTTTCTAAGGCACCGTTTTTAATAAAATGTTTAACTTTCTACCAGACATGGATATGTTTTAAAATAGACACCACTATTGAAAGATGCTCTGAAAGGACAAAGGAGACATTTTTGCATGAGAGCACGCAGCTGCACGTCAAGCTCTCCCTAGACATATAAATGCATAGTTACTGTCTATGTGACTCTTAGAAAACATGTATTGCTCACCTAAGAAATGTTTGATTTTTTTCTTTTTTCTAACACACTAAGAGACAATTGGCATGTGACTACAATTATGATGCAACAAGGAATCATAATTACATTTTGTTATTTTTCTTTAATATTCTTAAGGCAACATAAATATATGTTTCCTTTTGAAAAAAAAACATATTGAGCTTAGCTACGTATGCTTTCATAATCAGACTATTTCCTTAAATTGACCTGCCGAAGAGACCAAATAGGTACTGCTGACAAACTGCTATATTATAACTATGGCATGCCAACTAAACCTTACATATGGCCTCTGGCAGCCATTCCAGTTTCATAGCCAGGGATAAAATGAAAATTAGAAACCCATAGATTGCACTGAAGTGAATGAATTAAAATTTATATTGAAGCATCACATCTGAACTCATCTGCTGTTGGCTATACATTCAGTAAGAGGGCTAGTTCTTGAACTATTTTAACAGCATGATTGCTGTTCCCTTATGGATCATTCTCACACTGCTCTGGAAAATCATCCCACATTTACTTAATAAGGTGATTATGTGGGAGGACCATAAATTGATATGTCCATACAGTCCTCTGGTGTGGATACAGCTGATGTGGTATGATTTCAGAAATTAGATAAAGTCAAGGCCTGGATAATATTTGGGTGGGAGACCACAGGTTACTACCAGGGATCTCTAGATTAGGAAAGAATCTGCCTGAAACTCTATACAGCCACTGCCAATCTGGCCTAAACAGAGCAGTGGTCTTATAGACAGCAGTGATTTGACTCAAAAGCCACCTCCTGTTCTCCCAGTCACATCCTATAACCACACTGGAGTGGTGCTGGAAACAGTCCTAGGAAGGCCAAGACCATGCTGCTAAGACAATGCAAGAACTATCCCAGTGTGGTGCGCATGAACGCAGCACACACTCAGACCTTCTCCATTGACTTTTGAGCACTCCCAGCTTTGCTTCCATTTAGAATACATGACTGAAGGTTCAAGAAGCAGTGATCTGTGAAAACTCAGTAATTTCTGAGGCCAACAAATATACATTGTGTGGTTTCTATATGACTAAGGGTACAAATTCTTTCCCTAAATTTCTCTTTTCGTAGGGCACCCTAATTGTAAGCATCTTTCCTTGAAACAGAGCACACCGGCTTCAAATGGATTAACTTCGAAGTATTTGTGCTAAGAATCTCAGTTCAAAACATATGTCATATATTTAAATGGGCTTTCTGGAGATCCTGTTTTACCCCCTTTTAGATCAATATGTGCAATATCATGGGAATACAGATGTTTTATAAAGTATGCAATCATTCCAAATGCAGCAAATTTGCTGAAAAAAAGAAGAAATAAATCAGTAGTCCTCTCAGTCACTGAATATTCAACTTCATTTGTGCCTGCTTTATGAAGAACTGAACTGTTACAATCCAAACTTCCACATTTACATTCCTCTGTAATTGCAAATGGCAGGTCCAGCCTAGAGCTTGAAAAAGCTACTTTGGGGACTAAAAAGTGATGTCTTAAAGTAGCGCCTCAGTTTGTCATCATGCTCCATCCATGCTTTGATATATGTAATTCAATGGTCTGTGTGTGTGTGTGCGTGCGCGCGCACGCGTGTGCATGTGTGTGTTTGTGTGTGCGTGCGTGCGCGCACGCACACACACACACACATGCACACGCGCACACGCGCGCACACACACACACTCATGTGTGTGCATGATGTGTGTATTATCCTGGGGCAGCAAAGTTCTCCACCCTCAGGAGCCATTCTGTTCTCCAGACCTGATTTGACATGTTCCAGATGTGCAGAGCTGCAACTTCCATCAACCCCCTTCTGGCTGGGAGTGACAAAAGTTAAGAACCCACAAATCTGGAGAGTGCCAAAGTGGAGAGGACTGTTGCACACAGTGGAGTAAGAACCAAACATTTATTTTGATCCATTCATAGCTGGTCAGACTCCACAATAGGTTGGCCACTTAGCAGCAGAGGATTCAACATGACAATGCAATACATAGTTGGACCATTATATGCTGACTCCAAAAGGGGAAACTAATAATAATTTCCTGTTCCTTGTATAAGTGAAACTCTGGGTTTGATTAAAATTGATCAGTTACCAGAAACTGAGGGGAGGGGAATGCTTTGGAATGTAGAATCAGTTCACCAATTGCCAGTTGGCCATCCCTGTTGGATATTTTTGCATCAACTGAATGCATGCAAAATTTAAGTTCAGTGACAATGCTTTCATTCAGTAAAATAATTTGCTATTACAAGGAGCATCATTTTATGCACAACAAGATTACATGACTGAAGGTGCAATAATTTATTTGCAGAATTCCTACCCTCCACTGAAGGTAATAATGTAAAATGTTTCAGAATTACAGCATGTTTTATCAAACTAGTTCTTGTATAAAAAAAGATTACAGCTCCAGTAATAAACAGAAATTTTGCTTTCTGTGATGCTGCTTAATATTTTTTCAGTCAAATGCAACTAATTAGATTAATATATTGGCATATTATAGAACACCTACAAATGTTGTTTAAATCTAAAATTCTCAGTTCCTATTCATATTAAAACAGGTTTATTGCATCTTTATTTCCTTGTTATTTAAAAAACAAAACAAAACACCAGACTCTGAAACCAAACATAACTGATAATATGAATCACGCTCTCATGGGAAGATAGGGAGCTAAATGTCCAGAGGTGCACTTCATACATATAATGTAAGTGAATTATGAAAGGGAAATAATATATTGCATTGGAAAGTAGCTGATGTAGCCTTTTTTATGCCAGCTTTTCAAGATGAGATGAGAGCTGTGAAGTCCATGGATAGAATAAGCTCTTATATGCGATTGTCCAGAAGCGCTCGGAGAATATTTTCTGCAGTGTTCCTCTTGCAGAAGACATACGTAAGCAAGCCTGAGAGCCATGTCACAAAGTTGTTGGCTGACCAGCGGCTGTGTTAAAAAACAAACACACAGACACAGAGAGAAAGACAGTTGAAAAAGTGAACCAAAGGTAAAGATTGCTCACTGGGACTGTATGGCAGAGTCACCAATGGGACAGAAAGCCGAAGCAAAGAGTGGATGGGGCTGTCTCTGGTTTTAGCCCCATCCTTACAATGACACTGTAGTAGAAATCTTTAGTGTGCAATTGAATTGAAGAACTGTGTCTTATATTGTTTCCATAAACTTCCACACTATCATACTTGATCTGTTGCTGCGGGAGAGTAAGAACTCTTACGTCCTTTTCAGCCATCAGGTGAGGGTGAAGTCCACCTCTCACATTGGGTGGTGGTGGTGGCGAAACACCCCTGCCCTTTTCTATGAATTGTGCCTTGATCAGCCTGTGCCACCCAATAAAGTGAAGGTGCAGTGCGCAACCAAGAGCAAATCTTGGACCTTTTACTCAACTGACTGTGGGTCAGTTACTTGCTTAGTCAATTAACTGCAGTTTAGTTGCTCAGTTACACTGACTGTCCTGGTGGAGCCTGTCTTAGCCCATACACATTTTCCTTCAGAATAAAGACTAACTAGAATTATCCTGAGTGTTTTAAATGTATAAAGTAAGAATGCTTTCTCAGTATCTCTTAGGAGCAATGACATAACTAACATGGGCTAAATAATCCTGCTTAAGAATTATCTTTCTGGGCTACTGACTGATTCTCCATTTTTATCTATTTCATGCTTAGGAGAGCACTTGCCAAAATATTCAATCATTTGAAAGAATAAAAGCAACTGTGCAATTGGCTGATGTTATACAACAGCACCCTCTAGTCTTTGGGATAGGGAAACACTTGTCAGTAGGGAAATACTTGTCAGTTCAGTTAACAACTTCTAAGACCTTGTTTTTCTTTCAGACAGTCTGGAAAGGGGCGGCAGGCAGATGTCAAAGCACAAACTTACATACTTTATGTTCTCCTCTCCCCCTTCTTCCTGTACATGATCAGTGCCAATTAGCCAAGAAAGAACAGTCTCTGTTATCTTCAGGCTCTTTGGATTGATTTTTGAAAAGGCAGGAGACAGAGAATATCCTGATCATATCAGATCAATCAGCCTGAGCATCCAGCACACAACTGTTTCTTCATTTTGTGTCTACAACCTCAGTTCTTGTGTCATTTAAAACTATATTTTGGGGCCGGGGCTTGGAAGGTCAAGTGTGCCGATGTCTCCTGGGTGTTTTTTTACCCTGCCATGATACAAAACCTATGCTCATAAAACATTATTGTACCCCTCTTCTAGAGAACGACAGCCTTACCATTTGTTTTACTTTTTAGGATTAATTTCATAATAGCTCATGCAATGCCACTGGCTAGGAAAAGATCTGGAGTAAAGCCTGTAATCTTTTCCTAAAATGCTGTTCCACACTAACCATTGTTGTGGGGGGCGGGGGGGTTAGGACATCAAGAATGGAAACTGGGAGAACACAGACCAGGTAGCTGTTTGACCATGAAACTCCCTGAGTAGCCTAGGGACAGGTACTGTCACTCAGCCTCACCTGCCTGACACAGTGGTTCTGAGATTAAATGGGAGCGGGTGGGGGAGAAACCATATTTAAAGAAACCATATATCCTTCTCAGAAGGATGTAAAGACAACAAATGCAACAGGTTTCAAAAAAGCAAGCAGGAAAATACTCCTTAAAGCTGCAGCCCTATACACACGTACCTTGTATTGTCCGAGAAAACACTGGGATAAGACAACAAATGCAACAGGTTTCAAAAAACAAGCAGGAAAATACTCCTTAAAGCTGCAACCCTATACACATGTACCTTGTATTGTCCAAGAAAACACTGGGACCTTACTTCTGGACAAACAAGATTAACATCACATAAATGCGACATTCACACTGGTGATATCATTCCCAATGGATGAGTGGATGACTAGTTTCATGAGCTAGTATCAGTTCTGGACATATTTGCATGGGTTCTGCAGTATCAAGTGTGTTCAGATGGAAACTCCATAAAACAAGTATCACGTGCTGGTACTTACTTCTGGATCTGATGTAACAATCATTGCAGTTGAGAAGACCATTTCTTATCCGGACATCTGTACCACTTGCTGCATCTCCAAGCTGTCCCTTACAAATTCCACACTATTGATTGATAAAGTATGGATATGATAAGGGTTAATATATTTAGGGAATATCCACATGACAAACTTGTGTTGGTTCTGTAGAAGCCTAACTTCTATAGGAGTAGGCAACTTAGTGTCTTCCAGATGTTTCGAGTGATATCTGCTCACCCTCAGTTCCAGGCTGTCGGTCATGTTGGCCGAGTCAATGGTAGTTATAGTCCAAAATATCTGGAGGATACCAGGTTGCCTAGCCCTGCCTTTCGGGAAAGTGGATGACCGTTTAAGTGCAGATAAGCCATCTGAGTCTCAACCTTTATTCAGGTTAAAACAACAACAAAAAAGGTTTTTCAAAGGTTCTTCCTCATGGACCAAGTCCTGTGCGAAGCCCAATACACTAAATATTGTGCGCACTGACGTCCACATGGAATGGGGCTTAGCAGGCAGAGAAACTCTTTCAAACTCAATGAAAAATACAAAAGGCAAGTGAGAAAGATAACAGTGGGAACCAAGTTGTATGATTATTATACATATCCTCCCTTCAAATATGTAAGACAGAACTCGTAGTGTCCACGAGAGTGGACCCGTAGTCCAGATAGGCGGGGTATAAATCAAATCAAATCAAATCAAATCAAATCAAATCAATCAATATTAGGCAATGCTTCCCAAGCAATCAAGCAATCAATAAATATTAGGCAATGCTTCCAAAAGTCCATATTCCTAAGACTATCATGCCCTCAACTGAAAGAGTGATCATCTTCACTTTGGCGGCAGTGTTTAGATTTGTCTGTCACACAAGTAGGCCCCTTCATGAATATCTGGTGCTGGCACAGAATGAAGGACGATCCATGTGGCAAGCAGTGCTAGACATTCCAGCTGAGTGGAGAAAAGTGCCTTTTGCCACAGGGAGAGGCAAACAAACCCACCCTCCTTGGTAACTTCAAATACTTGATTAGAGGGAAATTATTTAAAGACACACTGGGAGAGGTTGGAAGACTTCTCTATTCCGCCCATCTCCTCCCCGACCTTCCTAAACTGGAGCACCCTCCTCATCCCATTATTAGTAGATTTTTTTCCATTTTATTTTAATCTCGAATTATTTGGTTGTTTTTTTTTAAAGACAGCCCTACCTTGAAGCACTGAATATGGAAGTAAAGACCAAGAGTCTCGATAATCATGGCAGCACCTTTTCCGAGAGGCTGTCCACAGCTAGAGCAAAGCTTCTTTCCACTGACAGACCTAGAATGACAAAAAAATGGATTCAGATCCTTTCCTCTGCACTGCAGTAACAATGAGCCACCCTTTCTAGCTGATTTTGAGATGGGCAGCCCCTTGTCATTTCCACTTAAAACACTAGTCTGTTCCCAGCTAGCCACTGAACCAGAGAAAGGTAAAACTGTTCTGCTGTTAATGTCTAAATAGGGGGATCCTTTGCACACACCAGTCTTCTTACATGCCTCCCCTCAGCTTGAGAAATACTGTGCTAAGGTGTGAGCACGTGAGCTTGGTCGTTCAAGAAGGGTCTATCTCCATGTCCCACTGGCTGTCTAAGAGTCCCTGCCAAGGAGGACATTTGGCAGGCAGGAAGTAGATCCCTTCCCTTACTGGCTGTCTAAGAGTCCCTGCCAAGGACATTTGGCAGGCAGGAAGTAGATCTCTTCCCCAGGGCATTAACCTGGAGTGAACTCTCCACTAGAGCCAGGAGACAAGAGAGACTCAGAGAGGTGGGAAAAACGAGAAAGGCAGGAAAAAGCCCACCATTGGAATCTCCTGCTAGGAGGAGAGTGTAAAGCAGGAAGGAGAAGGAAGAGAGCGAGGCTGAAGACTACGCAGATGCCCCAGAGTGGAGTGGGGTAGAGTCAGACCCTGCTGTGTACACTGCCTTTGCAAACATCATGTCGCAGTCCTCCCTTCTTTCTTCACCAAGTCTTGGATGAAATGGCTTGCAGTAGAGGACACCAAAGAACCTGGTACCACCAAGACCAGACCAGAGGTTGTGCCTGAAGCTAAGCCGAGAAGGGCACCAGAGCTGGGGGACTTTAGCCCTAACTAGGCAACATGGTTTGTGATTAAAGTGGCGATTCAAATGCTTGTGTCAACTTGCAAGGGACATCTGAGAAGGAAGGTTGAAAGTCCACAAGCCCTAGCTGTTGTTTGGGCTGTATGGGTGTGTGCAGTGTGCTGAAGGTGACCCTCCCCTTCCCCCTCCCCCTGGCAAAGGACATGATGCTAATTCCCCTATGGCTAAAACAGGGAGGAGAACAGTGTGGGATTGGGTGTTAACAGTTCATAATGAATATTTTTTTAGTTGACTAACTACTGCTTCTGGGTCTTTTTCAATACGATGAAGGACACAAGAGTATTGTCCGTGGTTCCCAACCCCTCAGAAGAGGTCTTAGTCCTTCACATAAGGTCACATAATGCAAAAGAACTGCAGTGGCTCCAGGTTGGCACAGCCAAAAGGGTGATATTTTTGTTCACCTGGGCACTCCTATTTCTCAAGAGATAAATTACAGCATATTTGTTGCTGGTTCCACAGTCATTCTCTATCAAAGTGCGTGGCTGTGATATTTTTGTTCACCTGGGCACTCCTACTTCTCAAGGGATACAGCATATTTGTTGCTGGTTCCACGGTCATTCTCTATCAAAATGCGTGGCCTTGCAAAGGAAGCCGTGCCAGCTGAAAGTGTGTACAGTACTAGAAATAGCATGGTTCTTGTAGCTGCAAGTGAGTGTGCTCCACAGCAATGGTGAATTGGCAGGGTCTTGCACGTATGTTAACCATCTCCCAGAAGCTCCAGCTCCAGAGAATGTGGTCTTGGAGTGTTCGCTTTCTACTTCTCTTCCCTTACCCAATGTGAAACAATTTTTCCGAGAATATTACATTTACAATACACACCCCTCAAAGCTATGTTCACCAGTTAGTTTGGGTTGAAAACAGTAATTTTGCTAGCTGACTATCAGCTTGACAATTCTGTTATTCAACCTTTGTACCTGTTCGGTGACTGGCTTTGCATTGATGGAGAACATGGTGATGGTGACCCAATTCTAGGGGTCTCTTGACAGCCTGCCCTGAAATGCCAAAGAGAAAAGAAACTCTGGTAAAGCTTTTGAAGGCAAATGTTTGTTTATTCCTCCCACGTACACAGATCTGAAAGGGGTGGGCTCT